TCCTCTGGCTCAAAAGGCATGTCAGCCATATGGGGAATGTGGTGGAAGCTGCAGATGGAGAGGTGGAGGTACAGAGGATAACCTTTTGTAAGGAGGATTAGGAGCCACCCTGGCTCTTCGCGGCTCCTTTCCCTCACATTGCAAGATCTCTCCCTTGTCTAGGTGTATCCTGTCACTGCAGTCTGTTCCCAGCACCCACGAGAGGGAGAGTGAAAGGGGGTAGGCAGTTCTGTGGGTTTGTTATCCCTGTGAATGAGAGCTAGGCCCTAACTCCAGGCTGTTGGGATGTTTCAGGGTCTCAGCTCAGGCGTGGAAGCCAGCTGTGGTGCCTGGGAAAGTGTTCTTTGGACACCTGTAGACTGGCAGTCCCACTGAGGCTGGCTTTCAGGTTTTGGTTCACCGGCTCTTGTGATTTCCTGTATGCACTTGTGTAACGATTGCTCTGTGCCTTTTTATCAGGAACCACTGATCTCAAGAGGGTTTTTAAAACAAACTTAAATAGACTTTGTTTCCCAGAGGCCTGAACCCTTTGTCCGATGAACACTTTCTGTTCCTGTCCCTCAGGAGCGAATCCAGTTAGCTCGGCAGATTGAGAAGGCCGAGTATCGGAACTTCCAGGCGTGTCTGCATAACTCTTGGATTGAGCAGGCAGCAGCTGCCCTGGAGATTGAGCTGGACGAGGAGATGTATAAGGGTAAGTGGGCTGGGTGGGACGTGAGCAAGGGCACATTCAACTTGTTTTGTTTTCCCTTCAGCTTTTGTCTTGTTGGAACCTCCCCACTACCATGGATCCTTTCCCTTCTTTGTGACAGGCCCTAGTCCCAAATGAGCCGGAAGCCCTTGGCCTTTGTTCCGTCTCTCTTGTTTGTCTAGAGCCTTCAGCTGCTACCCACATGTGGAGGGGAGGTAGTGACTTCGGGAGCAGGCTTTGTGGCCACACTGCCCATGTTTGAGTGCTGGTCCATTCCCTAAGGGCTATGTTACCAGGTCCAGTTTCTTAATCTCCCTGTGCCTAGGCTGTCCTCATTTATAAAATGCAGGTTATAAGGAACCTACCTCATGGGGTTGTTGCAAAGATGGCTTGACTTAATGGATTTAAAGTGCTTACAACAGCCCTGGCCAGGTAGGCCAGTTGGGTAGAGTGTCGTCCAGATACACCAAGGTTGTGGGTTTGATCCCTGGTCAGGGCACATATAAGAAGCAACCAGTGAATGTGTAGATAAGTGAAATAACAAATCTGTGTTTACCTCCCTCCCTCTCTCACCCCCCTTCCTCCAAAAAAAATAGTAAATTAAAAAATTTTCAAGTGCTTATAACAGTGACTGGCAAGTGGAAAGTATTTTATACATTTCAAGTTACTGATGATTGTTATTACTACTACACCTGTCTTCCAAGTTAACGAAGCACTTTGGTCATCATCTCACCTGATCTTTTCCATGGTTCATGACCTAAATAGCAGGAATAATTATCCTTTTACATAGGGGAACTAGGGGCCCGCAGAAGAGAAGCAATTTGTGCAGGAAAACAGTTCCGCCACCAGGCGTTTCCTGAGCCCCCACTCTGAACCTGGGCCCGAGGCTAAAGATTCAGGGATACATCTGTGTGGTACCTGCTCTGGGAAAGCTCCCGAGTCTAAGTGGTAGAACCTCATCTAGAGCTGACAACACCAGAGTTTGGTCCAGTGCTCTTTCCAGGCTACAAATGAGCAGCTCAGCTGGGATGTTGGTAACAGATTCAGAGGCAGACATACTACTGTGTGCTCAGCATGGAAGCCAGAAACCAAACCACAGCTTGATGACAGTGAGCTAGTCCTCCTGGTTGCTTGTGCTTGGGGCCTGGGCTGTAGATGCACAAGGCTCTGGCTTCTGTTCCCGAGGATGGGCTGGCATGGAGCCCTTTGGCTGTGCCTGCCTCTGCAGGGGCAGTCACAGTACTGGTGGGAGGTGCAGGGGAGCTGGGCTGCATAGATGGTGTTTCCTGTCTCCTGAGAGGTTTGTAGCTGTTGAGTTGTCAAACCCCAGGCTGCAAGTGGGTGGGGCAGAGGAAGAAAACATTCAAGTCCAGAGACTTGGGTTCTAATCTCAGTTTGACAGCTCTCTGACCTTTGGTAAGTGACCTCTGAGTTTCCTGGACTAAAATGAAGATAATTCCTGTCTTAGAGGGTTGTGGTGAGAAGTAAAGGACAGAGTGGCCCTGAGTATTCCTCGTAAGCTGTATTAGAAGTTAGTCAAGACCAGCTTCTGCAGAGAACTCTTGAGTCCTGCCTCTCCAAGAGTTCCAGAACATTTTCTTTTTTTTTAAATATATCTTTATTGATTTCAGAGAGAGGGAAGGAGAGGGAGAGAGAGAGACAGAAACATCAATGAGGAGAGAGTCATTGGTCAAGCCTGCAACCGGGCATGTGCCCTGACTGGGAATTGAACCCTGATCACCTGGATCCTAGGCCGACGCTTAACCGCTGAGCCATGCCCGGCCGGGCCCAGAACATTTCATCATGAGTGTCATCCATCAGGAGAACGGTCTTCTAGTAAATATGACCCTTTCCTGTTGTGTTTCAAGGAGGAAGAGCTGACCAGCAAGAAGAGCGTCGGAGACAAAAGCAGATGAAGGTCCTGAAGAAGGAGCTGCGCCATTTGCTCTCCCAGCCATTGTTTAAAGGTGACCTGAAAACCAAGTATCCCACTCAGTCTGGCAAGCCGCCTGCGCTCATGCCGCCTCCAAGAAATGGTGAGTCTGCTTTGAGCTGCCTGTCCAAACAGAAGAAGAAGCCAAAGCCAAAAACAAAAGAGCAGCAGCCGAAAGAGCCACAGCCAAGTACGAGTGCAAATTCACTGCCCTAAGGAAGTGTGCTGCTGACCACACATTGTGTCCATGTTCTCTGCTTATATGGGGAAACTCCCACCTTTCATTTCACTGCACTGTTTACCTGGTTGCAGAAACCTCTCTCCCCCACACCACCCCATCGAGTGAGGGACCTCTGCAGATTTGCGCTGTTTGAGAGGAAGGATTCTGTGCAGCAGCTTCTGTGTTTCTGTATTTCAGTGTTTACAGGCTCATGTGTTCATCTTGGTTTCCTAAATTAAAAGCATTAGAACCAGCATGTCATCCTGTGTTTTTAGCCAGAATATGGGGACTCTGTCCTAGTCGTCTGGTTGCAGGGTGCACGTCGGGGTGTCTTACCCACTTGGCAGTGTGAGTGGAGCAGGACGTCAGAGTTTTGCAGGTCACTGTAAAATCAGTTCTGCCTGGGTCCTCAGCATATGTTTCTGCTTTTCCCCACAGCAGAATCCTTTGCTCCAGGCTCTCTACTGCTTGCTCACAGCTGTTGTTCTGTCTGAGCCACCATGAGGGGTGGGCAGGGAGGAGGTGGTTGTCCTCAGGTTCCAGGAGAACACAGGCTTCCTTAACATCAGAGCCACGTGTGGGGAAGCCAGTAGTAGCTTGTGAATCTGGTAGGTGAGGCGCTCAGGACCTGGCCCTGTTTCTCTGGCCTCTTCTCTCCGCCCTCTTTTGTGACAGAGCTCGTTGCTTCCCGTGGTCCCATGTGCCCCTTCTCTTGTCCTGAGCCTTTGCATCAGCTTTTTCCTCAGCCTGATTGCTTTTCCCATCCTTGAGCCCTGCTTCTCTTCTGTCATCCCTGAGCCCTGGGGGTGAAGGCTTCCTGCTGTGGGCTCCCAGGGCACCCACACGTACCCTGGCACAGTACTTGCCACACTCCTATGGTCTTTGCTGAGCTTCTGAGATCAGAGGCTGCTTTATTGCCTCTTGCAGCCAGGGGTGGTGTGTAAATGTGCTGAGGGAACCAGTGACCTCCTGGTGCCACCCGGCTTTCTCTGGGTCTTTGTGGATGAGTAACCACAGTTGCCACAGTCGTAGGACAAGCACCAGTTTCTGTACAGCTAAGTCTGGGCCTCTAAACAGATTTCTCTCAGCCTCATGGATGGCAAGGTTGGTAGGATGGCAGCAGTATTCCCTCAGCCCCTTTGGCTAACTGCAGCAGGATAGTTGGTCTAAACTCAGATTCAGGTATTGTTGTTGACCAAGCACCAGGCACCGTTAGGCTCTGTTAGCTACCTGATCACTTCATCTCCCTCAGGTTCCTGAGACATAAGTCTTAGTATCTTTTCTGTAGCTGAGAAAGCTGACAATGTTCAAGACTTGCTCGGGATCACACAGCAGCCAGGAGCATAGCTCAGTTTGGAACCCTGGGAATTTCCTTGTAGGCCCAGAGCAAGTTAAAGTGCTTTGGCCTGGCTGGGCATGGCTCAGCAGTTGAGCATTGACCTAGGATCCAGGAGCTCGTGGTTCAATTCCCAGTCGGGGCATATGCCTGGGATGTGGGCTCAATCCTGGGTCAGGGGTGTGCAGGAGGCAACCAATCAATGATGACTCTCATCAGTGATGTTTCTCTCTCTCCCTCTCCCTTCCTCTCTCTGAAATCATTAAAGATATATTTTTAAAAAAAAGTGCTTTGGTCTTCAGAAGCAGCAGTGTTGCCAAAGAATGTTTCCCCAAGTCACCAGAGAGAATGCAGAACACAGTCCTAGTCTGTGAGGTAGCTCCTGAGTGACAGCTGTCAGGATGGCAGGGGGACTCCATTTTCCAAATGATACATGGAGATTTAGGAAGGCTCAAGGTCCCTTAGCACCTGAGCCATGAGAGCCCGGGGCGACTTGTCAGAGGCCTAAAAGATCCACCAAATGTACACTGACATCCTGCCCTGACCCTCTAATGGCGAATTCTTTTTTTTGTGGGGTAACATGTTAAGGGGGTAGGTTTTAAAAAGATGAGGCCGGCCTCCCAGACACTTTTGCTCTCTGACCTGCTGAGGTGAAGTTTTGGTGAGGCCCGTGGTTTCTTTTGATGACTCCAGCCTGAGGGCAGGACTTCCCGAGTATCTGGATCTTCCACTGAACAAGGAGTGCGCCCCCCTCCCCGCCCAAATCCACTCATATAGAAGCCCCACGGGTACCAAGTACTAAGAAGCCAGGACAGAGTAGTTATGGAAACCATTTTAATGCTAGGAAATGTTTTCACCAACTGCCCAGGGAAGTTATAGGGCCTGGCCCACATCCCATAGGACCTACTGTCCCTGGGCAGCCACTCACAGCCCCCGCCCCCATTTCTGCTCAGTGTGGGAATATGTTTGGTTCTTAGACCACTGTTTGGAAAGCCACAGTGCCACTGCCAGGGTGACATGTTCCCCTATCCTGCAGTATCCTGCTGCTGCCTATGGGAAGGGTGGGTTGGGAGTGTCCCATTCATAGACCACTCGCTACGTGTCAGGTCGTGCAGTTGTTTTCACTCAGTCTAACTAACTAGTAGTCCTGTGACATATGGGTATTGTCTCCATTTTACCAATGTAGGAATCGGGGTTCAGAGATGAAATGTTTTGGCCAAGGTCACATAGCTAGTAAGTGACAAAGTTGAGATTCAAACCCAGGCTGCCTCCAGAACCCCTTTGTGCTTAAAATAGGAACCAGGTCAAAAGGACAGTTTTGTTCTTTTTGTTGCTAAATATTTTCATTGATCTACAAAGTTTTCTTTGGAAAGAAAATAATATATAATTATAAAGACAAACTCAAAGCAACATTCCTTCCAGCTTTTGGTCTGGAAAGAGATGGCTTCATGGGGTGGGTGATTTACCCAGGAAGAGTGACAGTCAGCATGACTGGCTGCTGTGGACAGGGTAACCTCTACAGATGACTGGATTTGATCACACACAGTCCCCGATTTACAATTTTTTGACTTCATGATAGTGCTGATGTGCGCATTCAGTAGAAACCATACTTTGAATTTTGAACTTTAATCTTTTCCCAGCTGGCCATGTGGTAGAATGCTCTATTGTGATGTGACCCTGGGTGTCAGCAGGAAGCCATGGCTCTGGTCAGCTACAAGTTCTCGAGGGTAAACCACCGATGCTCTACAGTGTATTGCTGCCCGCACGTTTTGGATATTGTTTTGTTCTCTCATCCCCTCCTACAAAGTACCCGTCTATGTCTCCTGCTTCTGGTGAGGAGGAAAGCAGTTCTTGAAACTCAGATAAATGCCCAGCTGTAGGCTGAGTGCTCTGAGCACTTGTAAGATAGGCGGCTGAACTCTGATGTCCAGTAGGTTAGGTGTATTAAATGCATTTTTGACTTAAAATTTTTATTTTCAACTCATGATGGGTTTATTGGGACAGAACCCCATCTTAAGCCACGTAGCACCTGTACTTCAAGTTCCATGGAATTGTGCCACTCCTTTCCTCCCTGGTGCTTTTCCTTAGAGTAACTTGGCCTGCCTCTCTCGGGCATTCAGATTCCAAAGTGACAGGATCTCTCCTGGGAAGAGGGTCCCAGGGGAGCACTAGCAGGCCCTCGGGCCTGGGAGCACATCACACGCAGGTCTCAGAAGGGATTTCTCCAGCCAGTCTGCCAAAGGGAAAACTGCCTTTGTGAACACTACACAGACCATGAATGCAGAGACATGGCAGCCGGTGCCACTTACGCTGTGCTTGAGAGCCTAGTGAGGGCTCAGGAACCACCTCCCACCCTCAGCACGGCCATGTGTTCACACCCTTCATTTTGGGAATGGGGATTTGATATTCACAAACTATGTTGCATGTTCCCCCACTCCCCCAGTGTACTGTCACAGGGCCCAGCACTCCTACCCAGAACAGGGTGACTCATCTAGTTCAGATATAAGGGTCAGGTTTACATTCCTGTGGAAAAGGGGCATAATACTTAGCCCTTGGGTTCAAATGCCAGCCAGCGGCAGATGGGAACTGGGTCCCTGCCTGGAGTGGAAGCACCCTGACATCTGTCTCCGCAAAGCCAGATGCATGATACAGGTGGACAGTCTGACGTTTGTGTACCAGGACTCGGAGCAGTCTCCTCCCCAGCCCCCGTGTGTCATCTGGCCGTCAGCAGGCTCACACCACAGCACCAATAGGTTCTAACAAATCCCTGTAGGATAGAACCTGTGAGGCGGCCTTTGACAGAGGGAGTATCCGTAGGGCAGTTCCACACCCCTGCGTGCTCCGTTTCCTCCCGCAGAGCGAGAGCTTGGAGCAGTGCCCCAGCCAGCGGGGCTCTTGGAGGTCCCGAGGCAGCAAGGCGAGGTTACTGAGAGGCATGTCCAGGTAGATGAATGAGGCAGCTGCCAGCCAGGGCTCCTGACTCCAGGCAGTTGCCACAACAGAAGTCTTCCCCCACTGCCAGTTTCTTCGGCTTGCCTGTTCTTTCCCACCTAACCTCTCGCCAGCCCATAAAGCGAGCAGAAGCAGGAAAGGGGAGGAAGACAAAAGGCCACCTTGCAAAACTTGTCTGCTCTGCTCAGCCAGAGCCCGAGGCTGCACGTGCCAGTGTCTCCACCTGGCTGAGTAGATTCTTCTTCCAGGGTATGCTGGGGATGTACAGCCGTTGTCCAAGTGGGGCTGGCTGCAGAACCCTGAAGAGTCCTGCCCTGAGAGAGGTAGAGGGGCCCCAACAACCTGAATTTCATGCTGAAGAACCCTTTCTAGACTTTGGCATAAAAGTCCCTTTTTCCTTCTTAAGTTGGAGTAAGAACACACTCCCATCGTGAATGTTTGGAACCACACCGAAGCCCTCGCGTTCAGGTGGGCCTCAGCTGGCCAATGCTTCATCCAGCCGTCCACCAGAGTCCAGTCCAACAGCGGACTGGAGTTCATTCTTTTGTCTAGAACTGGTAAGTCCGTGGACCTTGAGCGTTTCCTCCCTTACAGAGAGGCACTGCCCACAGTGAAAACAAGCCAGAGGGTCCTGGCTTTTTTATACAACAGAATGTCAACACTGGCAGAAACCTCCAGATGAAGGAACAGGCCCAGAGAGGGGAGGTCACCTGCCCAAGGTCTTGGAGAACTGGGAGTAGAGCCAGGGGTCTGGCTTCCTAGCCCCGAGTTAAACAGCATTTGAAAATAAATACTAAAAATATTGCCAAGTTACCACACAGTCCATAACTGGTTGGCCTCATTCCCAGTGACTGCCCCAAAGGCTGTGTTTTCTGTTTTCTAATTACAGTCTAAATCGCTTAAAAAACTGAAAAGCCGTAACGTTCCATTCAGAATGCAGTCCCGTTAGGTGACAGGCTCCACTTCGTGGCCTAAAATTAATCACGTTTATCGGCTGCATAAAGGATGTTGTAGTGGGATGTTTTATAAAGCAGGTAAACGGAAGGGATGGCGGCCTCGGGGAACACGTGGTGGTTCAGGGCTGTGTCCATCTCGTCCACGTACTCCACCTGCAGGGCGATGTTCAGTGCCTGAGACAGGGCCGTGATCTGGATGTGGTCACACTCCATGGCCATGGGCTCCACTTCCTGCAAAGGCCAAAATGAAAAAATCCCAGTTTAGGAAGGAAGCCGAGAAGGGGACACATGAAAGTCCAACCCAGGCTATCGTGGTCCTGGGTCACAGCGTGTCTACCACTTAGTTCCTGCTGATGGTGGCCACGCAGGAATAAGAACAGGAGCCTGATCTTCCAGTTCTTCCAGAGAAATCCACATGTTCATATGAAAATTGCCCAATGTTTAAATGTTGGCAGCTCTTTCAGGTTCATACCATACATCACAAACAAAACACATCTTGGGGCAAATGTGACTTTGGGGTGGCTACTCCTTAATTATGTCAACAGTCCAGTCAAAGCCCTATTTCTTAGATGGGAAATCTGAGGCCCAGAAATGAAAGTGACTTGCCCAAAGCCACACAGTTAAGGCAGCTCCAGTGGGATGCTGCTCGCTGGCTAATCTGTGCTCTTGGAATTGCAAATACAGAGCCACACCCAAGTCCCCTGGCTTAGGGATGCTGGTGCTCAAGTCTCCTAAGGAGAGAGGGAGGGGAGCAGAGCCCAGGGCTGGGGCTGAGTCCCCAAAGCCCAGGACCAGAGGACCTACATGAGTGCAGAAGTCTTTGATGTCCATCTCCTCATCGACGAAGTGTCGGAAGAATTCGGCGCGGTTCCTGATAAAGGCGGAGGTGAGCAGGCGCAGGAACTGCACGATGCTGTCCGAGGAGCCCTGGTCGTTGAACACCTTCAGCAGACTGGACACCGAGCCGTCCTTCTCCACCAGCTCCACCACACTGTAAAACTGACCCCGCAGTGTCAGGTGGGCACAGGCCAGACCTGTGCCTCTGCCTGTGGGACCCCTCCTCTGCATTTTCACTTCAAAATCCTCAAGTCAAGGTACCGAAACCAATCTGAGATGGCACCAAAGCTAAGCAACGAGTGACATGGCCCGTAGTCACGTCTAGCATGCAGCAGTTGGGGTCTCCCTTTATCACTGGCTGGGATTCTTATTTAGCGATTCAGAACTGAGATCCCCCCCACCTTCACTAATGGGATCAGGGGGGTGGGGTGGAGAGGAAATGGGGGGAAGGAGGGGGAGCGTTCCAGCCTGAGAGCTACCCTAATGAGGTGACTTCTCCCAGAGGGAGGGCAGGGCTTGGGCAACCTGTCCCCCACATCCCCACAAGCAGGAAGCCACCCTCAGTCCTTGCCCAGCTGGGAGGAGCAAGTGAGGCTCAACCACAGAGCCGTGGCCGTGAAGGCTCCGGCCAGCGTGGAAGGATGTGGTCCCTCAGCGTCGTGCACAGGTGAACTCACAGCATTAAAGAAGTTTCGGAACTTGTGCTCCTCAAATCCGGCAGTCAGGAGGTCATTTGGGGTCTGCAGCACACGCTCTTTGAACCTAAAGGGGTAGACGATGCTTACAGGGAAATACAGGGAGCACTGCTGTCATTGTCAGCTGTCATCCCCCTCTCACCAGCTGTCTCCCAACACAATGAGAAGGTCCATGTCACTAACAGGTGAAGGACTTCTCTGCCTTTCAAAGCACTTCTACGTGGACCACACACTGTTCTGTCCTCACTGTGTACCATCCCAGGAGGTGGGTATTACACCCATTTTGCAGGTAAGGAAGGTGAGGTAATCACCGCCCCTTCCTACACAAAAGCCTCTTGGCTCTGTCCCTCCTTCCTGTCCCCGTGGTTCATCACCACCTCTGGCCTGGGCCATGCCTAGCCTTTCCTTGCACCTGGTCCCCTCTCCACAGGGACTTTCGAGTTCCTCCACAGCCTCTTCCCTTAGCACAGGTGTCCAGGAAGGGCGCCTGCCTAGCTCACCAACCTCATCTCCAGTCCAGCCTCAGAGCCTCCCTCTGCCCCCAGCCATTCCCCATGTGCATTTCCGCTCTAGTCCCCACTGTCCCCTCAGCCAGGGATGCTCTTCTCAGTAGTGTCCGAGCGATGGTTTGTCCCCACTCACACGAGCTAAGTGTTAAATTTTCAAGAATTCTGCCAGCCAGGTGTTAAACACAGCCATTATTTTAAAATCAAGTCATGTACGCACAGGTTGCCCCCACCCCTACTCCACTCACTTGAGGATCTCCCTGCCCTTCCCCAGCAGAGATTCCAGGTATGAATAGCCCAGCGCCCGGTAGAAGCAGTTCCCGTCCCCCTTGGTCTTGCGGATTGCCGTGAACCTTTTGCTGAGTTCCTGTGGAGAGATGGGAATGTGGACATCTGTGGCAATACCTGTCCTGTCGTGTCCCCCGGGCCGGGCCCCCACCCCCCACCAGGTAACACGGCTCCCTCCTCTCAGACTGCTGTCCCCTTCAGTGTCCCAACTTTCATTCATCCTACGAATGTGAAAAAATGCTGAGTGTGTCCTGCCTGGCACTGGGTGGTGAGTGGGGCCTTGGCCCTGCCCTCAGACATGCACCCTATGATCTAGCAGGGGAAGACAGACAGAAGATCGAGACAGGAGGACAGGGGAAGCTGGGGGTGGGGTGGGGTGCCTTGAAGCAATGTCACCTACACCAAGCTTCAAAAGAGGAGTGGGAGGGGTGTGCTTGGT